CCACTATATATAACCTCCCCTCTCCCTCGCTTTCTCTCTCTGAGAACCAAGTCAGTAAATAAAAAATCCACTTCGTATCATCAATTAATTTATAAAAAGGTAAAATGTCATCGTTATTATACGGGCCCTCGGGCAGTCATGTTTAATATGAAAATTTACCTAATTTTGAAGGATTCTGAATCTACAAAGGTTTAAAGACAATAAACAGAAAAATATTTTTTTTGGGAGGGGGGGGGGGTATGTTCAAACCAAATTATATCGCAGATACTTTGATCTGTGGCCCAGATTTGATAACACACACACATATCTACATGAAGTATATTTTGATCAGTTCTTTATGTGTACAGACTTCCCTTCCGAATAGATAAATCATTAAATTTGGCGATTTATGTATATGAAATAATTATGAATGACAAAAGTTGTACAAAAAAATTAATCCTTTTAATTAAAAAAAATATCTTTTTGTAATTGAAATCAAATTTGTATCCGTTTGAAACGGTTGATCACTTTCCATTTGAACATCTCCAACCACCCCATTTGTTCTTGCTAATATAATTTCGTGGAAAAGGGTGAGTGTATTTTAAATGTAAAATTAAATATTTTGTTATGATTCATGTTAAGCAAATTATGATTACATCAACTTTCTCCCATAAAATAAATAACCCATTTTTTAAAACTTTAAATATCCCTAGCTCAAATTAATTGACAGATGTAAAATAAAGACTTGCTAAGAGACAAAGTTTGTTAAATTTATATACCGCAGGCACATTCAAGATTTCGATTCAGAGGGAGCTCTAAATTACAAATATTCTGAAAAGGAATATCACACTGCTCAACGCGTTATCGGCTATTCGGTTGTTATCGGTCATTCGGTGGATAACAAATTTTGACAGGTTAGTAAATTGTTGCAAATAAACACTGTAAAAAATAGAAAAAGAGAATACTGATTGTGCTTTTTGTGAACAAGAATGAATACAGATACAAAATAAAGCCCCATTATATCTTATTATAGTATTTGTAAGTCTTGGGAAGACTTTAAAAGTCAAATTTATCATATTTTGCAAGTTTTTGGCCGATTGGCATTGCTGCATTAAGCTCCTCTCCTCAAAATCCTCATATTTACCTCACATTAATTATTGTCCACAATATGACATCGTCAGAATCTCGCAAAGATTTAATTAAAGGGTAAAAATAGCCCTTTTTTAACTTTCAGGATGTTATCGGAAATGCGGTTGAATGGTTCACTTTGTTATCGGAAATCTCGGTTTTAGTTATCGGAAACAAAGGTTGTTATAGGTTAGGAAAATCTAAAGAAACAACAGAAATCTTCAATAAATCTAAATATTTAAAGTGACAAGAACACAATTCTAATTTTTGGATATCATTTGTCTCTTTTTAGAATATGTAACTTTAAGAAAAGGAGTACTTTTTGATCAAGAATGTTTTGGCATTTCTCATAATCACTTAAATGTGTATGATCTTGACTTGTTCGAAAATATCGTATAAGTTAATTCTCTGAATTATAAATCTCTGTTGTATCAAAAATACAAATGCCAAATTTATTTATTGAGATTCTTACGTTGCATTATTCGCAGTATAAAAGCATCGCAATAATTGCTGAATTCACAGTAATTTACTCTTAGTTTTCTGTGTGTTGCCTTCCAGTTACGCACTGTTCTTCGCTTTTGTCTCTGTTTTCCTTGCTTCGTTTTTATTCCTTGACTTTGCATTTTTGATCTCCCCTTAACCATTGTTGTTCCTTTTGTTAGAACTAAGTATATACATGTATTAGTTTGGTATAAAGCAATTAAAGAATCTAATTTCAAGGGTGGTTAAATGAATTTTCCAAAAGGGTGTTAGACCAAATATGACCAAGAATTCCAACTTTTGAGAAAAAAATTGACTTAACTAGTTTACAAAAAGTGTTACTGACGGAAAGAAACTATTTTTAATGAAATAAAAAGATAACTCATTGAAGTTCAAAAGTCTATTGAAACAGTATACATTTGGAGCAGAGTAAACACTGAACACTAACAACATCAGATGTTGGTTCAGGGGCAAAGAAGGGATCATCCCCTGTCGACCGATCACACCCGCGGTGTGCTCTTTGCCTTATCGGCCGAATGAAAAATCCGTAGACAATTCAATGTGTAGGTGGAGCTCATATTCGGATTTAGGATGGGGGTGTCGGGAAGGTTCGGACCTCACCTGGAATTTGCAGAGTTACTGAATATTTATAGTGAAGTAAATAAAAAAAAACTTTGGCACTCCCCCTTCCCCATTGAAAACGCAGATTACTGTTTGTAGAAAAGATTGAAAGGGTTAAACATGTGAAGAATTGAAGTGAATCGACTAGCATCCCCCCTTCCCCCCAAATAGGTATTTTTCACGTTTGGGAAATGAGTTCAACGTTGTTTTTTTTTAAGTCAATTTTATTTACTTATATATTTTTACTGAACCATGTTTTTGTACAAGGATAGTCTCCTTAATCTACTACATACCCAATTATAACAAGAAAGATATATTTCTTTGCGGTATATTTGCACCTTATTCGATTTCCTCTATTTCAAACCTTAAAATGGTTTGACACAAACAATGCAATCGCTCTGCATTGGACACAACAAAATTTTAGCTCATTTGGGCACTTGAAGTGACGATGTTTTTTTTTCTCAAAAATGACATAATAGATCGTAAGACCTGACTAACTAAAGAAACTAGAGATTTGTTATATACATGTAAATTTACGTCTGAAACCGCCTAAAGCCAATAGTGCCTATCTTTATATAATGGAAAACAGCAAAATGATTGAGCAGAGAGGTGGTTCTATTATAAAATCATAATTATATACATGTATATCAAAAACTAACAATGAACAGCTAGAAAATTTTCAAAAATTAGTTAAAAAACATTACGTTTGAAATTTTCAAAGATTGACAGATTAAAATGGACTTTTTTCCAATCTATTTCTAAAGCTGAAGAAAACTTTTTAACCAGAGTTTCCGATAACGTGCACTCGTAAAAACCGAATTATCCGGCAACATCAACCTTGTTGACGATAACATGTTTTCACCTAACGAGACATTTTAAATGCCTGTTAACTAACCCTTAATTTGGATTTTTGATCTTAGTCTGCTTATCTACAGGTATATGATTGTCCATAGAATATATAAACTATTGTGTTTAATACAAAAAACTGAAATTGACTTCTAAAAAAGCTAAAATGAGATGACATATTCCGAAATTTTTATAAAATATCATTTGAAAGAGCTGTAGATCTTCTGAAAGAGAGTGATTTGGTTTGTGCTTTTTGCTGCTGAAAGTATAATCATATATCTGCCAAAGATCACAAACTTTGTTTGCTGGAGTACGCAATTATCGTTGAATTAAGAAATTTAAAATTACCTACGTTTTCTAAACATCGCTTTTCTTGCACCGAATGCCCGATAACAACCGAATTGCCGATAACGCGTTGAGCAGTGTGTATAAAGACACCATAAGTGTGGTATGTTCAGCTGAATGCAGATAAATATAGTAAGAAAAAGAATTTTGTATTTTTTTTTTAGTTTCTTTCATAATGATTACAGTATAATGAATAATTCTTTTATATACACTTTTCTTTTATAATATATTTCTTTTATCCTTTTTCTTGTCAAAAAAGTTTTTTTTTTCTCGGAAAAATTTAAGGGCAGGAGGCTTTAAGTAGCGCCCACCTTTATTCTGCCAAAGTTTACCCCCTCACCCCGCCCTCTTTTCCCCATAAAAGGGGTTTTAAATCATTGTGAATTAAACAAAATAACAATATAAAAATCTTATATAAAACTCAAAAAAGTTTTATTTGCTACAAATTAATCAAATTCATACAGAACAATTCTGAATGATTTAAACAATGTAAAAAGACATTATTGACAGTAAGCAAATAACCATAATACTGAAAATTATTACAAAAGTGTTGAAAATATCTAAGAAAATACGAATCTGAAACAGTTATTTAATTGCGTGTTCGTCCATGCAGTAACGCACGGGAATTAAACTTTGAGACCTACACCTTGTCATCAATCACCCCTTTTACACTTTGCATCTCTCTTTTGGGATAAAGGTCATTTTCAATGGGGAGCAATTTCGTAAAAAAAAAGAATCCTGATTTTCCGCAACAAATTACTGCTTTTCTGTGATTATATTTTTGCTTTTCTGCGACTTATTTTAACATGTACATCTTTCGACAGCCAGGTAAACATCTTACCACAGCAACTCCTTTTGCATCAGTTGTAATTGTAGCTTTGCATATTTTATTTACTAGGCTGAGTTGGTAAGAAACAATGCCATTATTTAAAACATGGAGTTTTCTATACGTGTATCAATTTAACCGTATATCATACCACGATTCGTTTCAGTATAAATACATTTAACTATATCCATGACTTCTGGAACCTATTACTGAACAGAGTGAACTGCGAAATTCGATCATTCTTTTAAAATTCTGTGAGGAAATTCAGAAAAATACAGGTAAATATAGGCAATTATTTGTTGCTAAGTAATACAAATCGCTGAAAGAGGTATCAAAAAAGGACATAACACATATAACTTATAGTTAAAACCAATTGCGGAAAAGCAGTTGAAGTTGTTGCGGAAAATCAGAGAGGGGACTGAAATAAAATTGCAGAAAAGCAGGACGGCCGACAGGGGCTTTATGAATTATCTTATTGATCGATTGCAGAATTTAAGATTTAAACACGTTTCCTAAGAGTTTTAATTTTGAAAAAAAAATGAAAATAAAAAGTACATATACTGCAAAAAAACCCATCAATTATCCGGTTATGAAATTTGTAGCCGGTCACGATATTTCCGACTGATTAGTCGGTCATCCCTATAGTTCACATAATAGAAAGCTAAACGAACACTCATCTGGATAATTTTCAATCAGATTAACTTGTTCGCTTGTGCATATTCAGAAGAGCTAGTAAAAGGTGGTGTAAGTTTTAGATTTTATTTCCCAAAAGTTAAAACCTGGAGAAATTATTTTTGCTGTCAAATCATAAATCCACTGAAGGTGGTTACAGGGACAGATTCAGAGTAGTAGCCTCCACCTGATGCGTACTGTACCCAGACTTTGTCTCCACGGCTCAAAGTTAGAACCGCCATATTGGTTCCCGTCTGGTGGGAGGTGGATCCATACGCATGAGCTCTGACCTTGGATACTTTGTCATGTACGATATCCACATTAATTGTGTTTGAGCTGTATGCTGTGATTGTGACGTAGAAGACGTAAGTACCATCTGTGGGGGATGTAAAAATTCCGGAGGACGCATCGTATCCCTGCCCCTGGTTGAAGATTACACTTGAGAAGACAAGCTTTCCGGATCCCCAGTACCTATTGCCTGATGTAGTACCAACGGTAAAGCCGATTCTCTCGCTGACATCTAAAAAAAAAGGATTACCAACACTCTATTATAGTTCTTAAGTATTCTGAATTCAGAAAGTAAATATATATTCTGAGATTTAATATCATCCTCCAAAAATAATACCAACTATCCACTGATAGGTAAACAACTAGATCAAGGAAAAAGTACTGATGTCCCTGGCAACGTTGTGGTTAAGATACATTTAACTTGACAGTGTCTATTTCAACCTATTGTAAGGTCCTGATACCTCTTCTGATATAACCAGCACTCATACTCAGCATGACCTTTAACGATTCACCAGAGATTTACACTTTCAGTCGATCTGACCATGACTTTGTCTGATTGACCTTGAGTCACTATCAGAGCGACTCATAAGCTTCGATATCACTCGTATGGCCGATATTATATAATTGATCCTTTAATTAAATTGATGGAAGAATCATGAAACAGTTGACCTTTGATACATCTTAAGAAATCTTTTATGCAGATATCTTTACAAAAATCCGGATCTAACTACATGTATATTAGATTGATTGATTCTGTGTTGTTTTACGTTCCATTCGAGAATTTTTCACTCATATAGAGACGTTAAAATACTTTTGGTGAAGTGCCACAAAATCTGACTTATGTGCATAGCGCTTACGGCCATAGGGATCTTTATCGTGCCAACGCCTACCATGACTAGGGACCTCAGCTTTTAAGGTCTCATCCAAAGGACCCATGACTTTCACTTATATTGCTGCTCGCTTGCAAAGGAACAATCCAGTCACTACCTATATCATCTTAAGTTTGACGCGGTGCCGGAAACGAGAATCGAACCTGGGACATTCGATCTCAAAGCAAGCGCAACTAATTTAGAAGTTAGTTTTTATTGACTTATCAACAAAAATAGATTTTCATAAGGAAGTAAGGAGAAAATATGAAGTGTAAGTTTATATATATATATATATATATATATATATATATATATATATATATATATATATATATATATATATATATATATATATATATATACTTACCAAAACCTCCACTTGAAATATTGTTCCGGAACCACTCTAGAGATAAGACGGCGGCAGACAGCTTTAACTGGTCAAGCTGAGTCTCCGACAAATCTGATCTAATGTTACCCAGACTCCTGTTTGTTTCCTCTAGAAGAAAAGTTTTTTTTTTCAAATATAATGCTTTAGATTACAAAAACATCTTCCCGGTAAAGGAACAAACATCTTTGAATTTACCACATTTAATAAATTAAATTTCTGTGTACAGCACTGTTACTACTGCATGTTAATGCAGATGATGTTAAATTTTGTAATTGCTTTACGTAATCATGAAACTAAAAGAAGAGTAGAAAATTATATGCAAGAAAATAAATAAGACTAACAATGACGGAATCTTACCTAACAGAGAGGTTGAAACATTGGCAATCATTTCAGAGACCACGTGGTACTTGTTCTCTATTAGTTCTGGTACCGTCTTGTCGATTTCTTGCGCATGCTTATTCAGCTCCATGAGACTCATTGACAATACACGTATTTGTATCTTTATATCGGAGAGTATTTCGCTTGTATTCCGTTCAAAGTTTTCTTGACCAACACGCAGATCTTTTTCAAGTCTTTTTCGATCTTCCAAGTTCTTTTCAAGTTCAGCACGCAACCTGAAGTCTGTTAAATTTTGCGCCGAAAGTCTGTCTTCAAGAACCTCATTTCTTTCTTTCAACTGTTGGATTTCATCCTTGAGCGCCTCAATTTCTTTCTCCATCTTGATTTTTTCATCTCCAACAGTCTGTTTAACAGTCGACATCTCGCTTTGTAAAGACAAAGCAGTTTTTTTAAAGGACACCATGTCCTTCATCATTGCATGGACATTTTTGGTCAAGGACATTCGAATTAAGGTTTCTTGATTTAAGAGCTGTCTTAGGACAACAGAATCTGTACCAAGCTGCGGCAGCTGTGGTTCCTCAACACCTGTGTTTTCTGTCGTGTTGGATGCCTCTGACTCTGCAATAGTCAGATTTATCAAACATGCCGAAACACAAAACGCAGTTAACAGTGGAACCATCTTCATCTCAAATACTAAAATCAAAAATATACCGGGCTTTATATTTAGGTGCAGTTAATTGAAACACACTTGAACTTTGCCCTGAGAAGGAAAAAGGCTGGACTTTTAAATGAAACAAAGTCCGTCTGAAATGATAAACTAGTGTTTTCTCATGTTGTAGAGATGTCGCCGATGACCAAAAATAAGTCCTGTGCTTTTCTCTGACGTAAGACCACTCATTAGGAAGATCCGAAAACAATTTGAAATAAACAGAGGGAAGTAATTAATTCTCTATTTCACATTTATATAAATTAATACAGTATCAATTAGTTTGATAGCTAGTTAATTATTACTTCATAACATACAAAATTGAAGTTCATTTTCCTCTACCGAATCTAATAAATTTAATATTCAGTAAAAAAAGTGATTATATTTAATATTCAGTAAAAAAAAAGTGATTATATTTAAATTGTACTTGTATTTAAATTGTACTTGTATTTGTAATTTTGAATCATTTATAGAAATAAATGTTGATTTTTCTTAAAAGAGAGAGTGCGATATTGGGTGCATTTCTATACTTAACGTTGAAAAAAATATTTTTGAGGTTCTTAAGTCCAAAAGATCTCGCAATTTAAAGTTTAAAAAATCAAAGACAACATTGTGGATGTAATGTAAAGATAACAGCAATCATGCTCAAAAGTCCATTGAAAACATGAGGTGGGATCAGGTGCCATGGAGAAGTAAGCATTTCGCGACCACCGCGTGCTCATAGTACATGTAATGATCGGGTAAATAGAAAAAAGTCAGTTCAGTATTAAAATAATAGTACTGAGTATAACAATTTGTATGAACATTAGACCTATCGACCTATTGTAATTGCAAACAAGGTTATTGGCTTATTGTATCGACCATAGAACTTGCTAAATGTTGACTTAATTTAAACGAGATCGTAGAGACCCTTGCAATTATCAACTTATTTGTCACAAATCTGCCTCGTTTTAGGAATTGTTCGTACGAAGAACTTACTCTAGCGTATCGAATCAACTGACAGACATAAAACCCATATGTAGGTATTAATGGTACATGTATATTGCTTCATAAATAAGGGAACATGACGATAATGGTAATTTCAAGCATTTTTCAAGGACTGGGTCAAAATTCAAGGTCTTTTCATGGTCTCTAGGAACCTAGCACGAGATGGGGAAATTTGGAAAATTTTGATCGCCACAAGGCAATTAAACGATTGAATGATTCCTTTGAATGGAAAGAATCAAACCATGCAGCGTATTTTTGCGTCAACTGAGGGGCATATGGCACATGCCTTAAAAATAAATATTGTCATATATAATATACAATTTCTGGATTATTAATGTTAATACAAGTGTTTTCACAGTAATGAAGACTGCTGAAACTTTTGTGAAGTCTTGTACAGTATATATTTGTATTCTATTTGCATTATGTAGACATTTGAAAATTAATCCTTCTATCTCATCGTTTAAAAATCAGTCCAAGAATCTACGAACTTCCTTTCTACAAATCATTCCAACTTTATACACACAAGTACTCAGGGGGTGACATTAAAGGATGCAACAATATTTATGTAGTGTTTGGAGACCAGATTTTCCAAAAATATGATGGAATTAACACGGGTAATAATTTTGCCCTTCATTACCTGATCTTTGTATTCTTAGGAGCATATTATATTCAAAAACTTTTATATGAAGAGAGGAAGTCTTCAGTTTAACATTTAGATATATCAAGTGCATTTTATCAATTAAGAATATTCATTTTCATCCATATGTTGATTCTATATATCGAATTGAACTCATGATAAAAGACACCTCAAAGTCTAACAAATCTGTTTAACAATTGAATGGGTTTTTTTTCTTCTAAAAGATGACATGAATGGCAAACTATGACAACTAAACTTTATAATGGCATGATAGCGTCAACTTTTCTATCATCATCTTCCCTTCTTTGTGCAGCAATATACCATTATTACCTGCAAATGGTATAAATGTCTTCCAGTTGATTCTAAACGCAAGAGCATGCTCTACGCACAAACTCTTTCTAACACGAGGTAATTTGCTGACAAATAAATGCATGATCCAAGGTCATCAAGTCAACATTTTGCAAATTCGATACAATGACCTTGTCTGCAAATACAATATGTCAGTAGATCGAATATCGACTGAAGCTTCTGTGCATATATATTGTTAGGCCATTAATTCAATACTGAATCCGCAATTGATTTCGGTTTACCCAAACATGACAAGGGGCACACATCCGATATGACCGGTTTACAGGAGGCACTTACTCCTCAATGGTACCTGATCCCATCTCTGGTGTATTCAAGGGTCCGTGTTTGTTCTGCTCTCAATTTATATCGTTTATTTGGACTTTTAAGCATAATAACCGTTTCATATAGATTCAGTTTCTAGCCAAGGTTTCAGAAGTTTGGTGCCAAATTAACATTTTACCAGCCAGTGCTATTTTTAATGATTGATGACGTGAAACAATATTTTTAAAATCTTTTATTTTAACTATAGCATCTTTTGGAACATTTCCATTTTTTGACATTACCCCTCAAAATGATAAATTATATTGATCGATGCCAGCCGTTCATTTGTCTCCTTACAATTTCCTTACTTCCTTTGTCTTGTATATTGGATGGCGCTGATTTGACAGTGTCAGTATTTGTTGTGAATTTCATTCACGTAAAACATCGAAATCCTTTCTCAAACAACAAAGCTTCTCAAATTAAGATATATCTATCATAAGACTGATATAATTATCTCTTGCTTTCCTTCTCTAATGAGTACATTACATGTTACAACAACCAAGTGCAAAAAAAGCTCAACAAGCGATAACATTTAAAATTTATTTTCTAACTCATTAAACTGAGTTATACATCAATGATGCAACATCATAATGATAAAACATAAAATGAGTTTTTAAAAGTTTTGTCAAAATATGCAAATATCTCGGAAAGCATCTTGCGCTTTTATGGCATCTTTTTTTCTTAAATTTTAATAAAAATAAATTTTAGAACCTTTTAGATAATTTTTTTGGAAAATATACAAAAGATAAATTCATTCATATGGCTTAGAAATAGATAACCGAGCAGTCAGCAAAGGCCCCGCTAATAAATATTAATAAAAATAAGATGATTTGATTAAATCATGTCTTCTTCTCTTCTGTTCTGTGTTGTTTCAAGCACTTAGGTGAACAGAACTTGAAATCGGAATATTCAAATGGAACTTTCCCCGTCATATCCACACCACACTGGAAACAACGGCTGAAACAAAATGTAAAATTATATACAGTACATGTATAAATAATGCTGAAACACCTTAAAAAGACATGCCACGTTAAGTTGGTAAAATTTCTGCTCTCTTCTTCACTGTATCAAATTGCGCTTACATCAAATTACTTCACTTTCTACGAAACTTTTTTCCCGTTAATTCTAGTAATTTTAAAAAAAAATAATTTAAAAAAAAGATATATATAAATCATATATCGATATCTTGTTATTGAAATTTTCTTTAGACTTATATTTACTTTTTCTTAAACGGTGCTCGTTACGTGATCATACAGAATCAAACCTCAGATAGGTTGAGGGGAAAAAAATCACCTTACATAAAATGTAGCTTGGCGACGCCGCCACATGTATGAGCATTTGGAGAACTGAATCCGAGTATCAATAGCATGTAAAATGAGTTTTGGTGCGATAACAACTTGTGGTCGTCTATTACTGTACTGTAGTTAAATTTTTCTTCAAAACTGCGTCATGAGTGACCACTCCATGTCTTTAACATTTATAAATTATCTATTTATTTCGTGCACTGCATGAGTTCTCTAAGTAACTGTTGAAATTTTAGTGGACATTTTGCTCTCGATAAAATAAGTTTCAAAACATTTTTTGAAAACATTTGCGAAAGTTAACCATGAATCTGTTTTTTGAGCTGCCTTTGGAGTAATATGCTATTGAATGTATTACGAGTTGCTCTGAAATCTAAAACCGTTCACCTTTCACCAGATACCCATCCCAAATAAATGTTCGTAATGTATTTATTTTCTTAACGTTTTCAGTGCTGATGTAAGAAAACAATATCTTTTCGTTGATTGGCCAGTAAAATCAAAATTTCCAGTTGCGGGGGGTTATTTCGTATAAAATTATTGTTCCATTCAAGGCCTAGATCTTTAAATAGAGGGGTTTATACAGTGTGTATATTTGTGTCATAAGAAACACTCCATTAACTTAAAAATTCAAATAAACACTGGGTGTTCATTCAGAGCGTTTACACCTGGATGGGTTAACCCGGAACTTTCTTATAAATTTTTTTTATTGCTTTAGGTAAATTCAGAGCACAGCCAAGTTCGATTGAATTAAATATTTTTTAACAATATTTTTTGTGACCTTCCTTCGCAACACCCGAAGATTGGGGGCGTATCTATATAAATACAGGTCTAGGTATCATTCGATAATTGCTTTATACCAGTGATTAGCCAAGATAATATCCATTTGGATTAATTTATCCAAAGAAAATTCAGGGAGAAAAATCAAGAACCTTGTAAAATGAAAATCATCTCTTGTATACTTCTTCTGTGTGTGATTAATGCAGTCGGTTCTCAACTAACACATGCAAATGTGACACAGGAGTTACAGACTCTCCAACAGAATCCTGGCGGGGTACCCAAGGTGTGTCGACGGTTTGTCATAAGAGGGATCCAAAAGCTAACCAGAGGTTTGTACATTAATCTTGAAATTTCCATAGGATCTAGGGCAATTATGTACTGTCTAAAAACACGTCGAATAAAATTATTATCTAATAATTTCATTGAAACAAACATGCTTCCAAAGATTTTCCTTCGAGAAAAATCTACATACACGATCCATTCTCTTCTTTGTAGTAGTTATTTCTGGTTTTTTTTTTATTATCTTTCATGCAGGATTATTTTTCACAAAAAAAGAATTAATGAAGAAACTAAAGAAATTTAAGGAAAAAGAATGCAATGATTGGACGGAAGAGGAAACACTTCAGAAACGTGATAAATCTTCCTCCTGTAATTATAATGACGGTGACACGTGCTGTCCATCGTAAGTGAAAGTACAACACCGTTTCGTTTTGGATTTTTAACATCTCTTTTTCGTACACCACATTATCTCAATATTTACAAGTGTGAAATCTGTTTTTTGTGTGATCTATTTTTTAAAAGTATTTTTCTATAATCGTTCATTCCCTTATTAACAAAGAAAGACATTTATCTTGTATATTTATTTGCAGAGACGTTAATTGTTAATATTTCTTTTTTTTTATTTTTGATCTACGGATAAAATCTCAAAGAAACAAGTTATAACTAGTAATAGAAAATGATATAGAAGATATATAAGGCAATTCCATTTTGAAAGGAGAATGAAATTGCGGAATGTCAATCTGATACAGTTGCCAATGAGAAATCACGGGGACAGGCTACCAAACAAATAATTGATGTTGCAAAGGTATCATCAATCTCGTTTAAAGTCATGGTCAATATAATGACCTTGTTTGCAAATACAATATATCATTCGGTCGAATGTTGAGTGACATTTTTCATGAACTGTAAAGTCAGTTATACTGAGCTGACTTCAGATTTCTGCGTTTACCCTATTATGACAAGGGGCTTAGGCCAACTTTAGAAAAATGTTTGCTTGCCTTCTCCCGACTCGGTCTGAAAATATTGGGTCGGTAGGTACATGTAGGTGAGAAAATTTTTTTTCTCAGAAAATTTCAATTTCAATGCTAATTTTTTAAATTATATTTTCCAAAGTACATATAAAAAATAATTGCTTCCTGGAGGTTAAAAAAAAATTGAGTCGGGCAATTTTTAGCCAGTCGGTCGGGAGAGGGCAACCAAACAATTTTTTTAAAGATGGCTTTATGCCAATGTGACCAGTCAACAAGGGATGTTTTGCTCTTCTTTGGCACCTGATCCTGCCTCAGATGTTTTCAGGAGCTCGTGTTTTACTCTGCTCTCAATTTTTAATTGTTTAATTAGACTTTCGAGCATGGTTTGTGTTCCTTATCTTCACATTGCACCATATTGCACTCAATCAACCTAGTATTCCTATAAAATCATTATATATTCCCACTTTATATAATTCAGATGGGATACAAGTGTAATTTCAATTGAAATTGGTCAAAATTAAAAATTAGCAATTTTTCGTGAATTTCGTAATTCTACTTCAATTTCTTTTTCTTTTTCATATACAATTTTCTAGTACATGTACATATTTTCATAAGTGATTTGTTTCTTGAGGATTTTATCTGTAGATCTGAAAAAAATAATATTGACTTTTTTTCATAAACATTTTTTTTTTAAAAATTAAAAATTATAGCATTTTGACTTCTCTTGATATGATTAATTAGATACTTATGAATTAATTAACAGTGAATTTTAAGTTCTAAAGTATCTTACTTTGACCAAAACATTTTTTACTTTTTCTCCTCAAAAAGGCAAATTTCAAACTCATGGCTTTTAAAAATCAGTTCTGATTAGCTTAGTGTTGATCGATTGATAAGGGCTATTGGTTTTCATGAAAATTGAAGGTGAAAATATTCAGTGGATGTATATATAAATAAACACTGAATAATGAAATTCATCCTAGGTTAAAGCTATTCAAATGAAAGATAAGTATATTATGATTAGCGTAATATCTTTTTACAAAATTACATATACATGTACATGTTTACTATTAATAAATTATCATTACTCCCTAACAGCTTTAAAATTTCCCCTTAATTAGGACATTATTTTAAATTACAGATACTGGACATTAGCTTATCCAACCCATTTATACAATACCGACGGAAAACGACGACAACTTGTCTCCATCAACAGACAGAGTCAGTCACTTTATCAGTTCATTCCATTAGGAACGTGTGGGTAAGTAACCAAAAGTTTGCATTATAAACACTAAAACGATACTGCAGCAGAGTCTGGTATTATCTGTCAGAGGGACTAGTGTTATAGAGTCAAACCTCAATATCTTGAACTCAAAGGGAACAAGAAAAAACTTCAAGATATCCAAGGATTTGAGATATCCAGGTTAAAATACTTAAAGAATAAGGGGGTTGGGACTTCCAAATCACTTCTACATATCCATGGTATTCGAGATATCAGTGTTAGAGATACTGAAGTTTAACTGTATATCCAGCATTAAAATCACTAGTGTGGAATTTACGTAGGAAATAACCTTTTTTTCAAATTAAAAGACAAAACAATTAAAAAAGTTAATCTCTTATCTGATTAAAATCAGAAAGTTGCAGTTTTGATTTAAGTTTTTTGGAATGTACTATTTCTTGTATACTAACGTTTTTTCTAGGGATGTCAACGAATAGTCGACTATTCGACTATCAGTCATATGGACCGACGATCGAATAATGAAACGACATTCGAATATTATTAAAATTAAATAAATGCAATAAAAGAGTGATGAAATTTTCGTCACAAAATTGAGAAACCGTCTTTCCTCAGAGACAGTCGATAAGATAATTTTCCTCAACGAAAACGGTTGATTTTCCATGTCTGTATAGAAAGTACAGTAATTATAAGTGCTTCACTATACTGCGAGAATTAATTGTCAGTAACTGCCTTTGTCGTTTTTGTAATAAATTACCCACCAATATACTGAGCTTTGTTTGTAAAATTATTAATTGGACTTGACCTTATACCATTTACCAATTATCTTTTGTTGTTATAAGATTGCTCAAATGAAAAGAACAAACCATAGCTGTGTCATGTTTTGACTCTTCTATAATTATTAAAACAATTCGCTTACATTTTAATCTGTTAAGGACATTTTCATAGCCAGAGCAATCTAATAAATTCTAAATTTTAAAAAATATTGGCAATACTCACTAAAATAAAAAATGACTACATGTAAAGAAGGTCTTCCGAATTCGATTGACGGAGAAATCGTACATTTTAGAGAATTGGGTTTCCTAATTTATTTCATATAATCATACGTTACGTTGCATTAATTTTGATGTTACTTTTTAAATAGATTTAAGAAAAAAGGGTTTTGAGTTATAAATACGTCACGTATCAGTGAAGTTTGAAATAAAATTTTATTTTCAGAAAATGTTCAAAACATTCGACTATCGTTCGAATAATGCAAACGAATAATCGACTAAGGAAAATAAATATTTTGACATCCCTAGTTTTTTCCCATTTATTTATTAGTTTATTACTAATTCTTTACACATACTTTTTTGGGTCTGGAAAAAGCTATGGTGTTTTTAATTTTGCGAACATATACACTATTAACTTCAAGTTAAGTGAAATTCTCTCTCATTGACCTTTTCTTTTGCTTGCCAAAATATTTTTTCAAATTAATTGTAATGTAAGTTGCATTTTATTTTTATTTAAATATCTGAAGGTCGGGAGAGGCAGTGTTATGCTTACACTGTATTAACACTTTATTCTGTATCTTTTATATTTGTAGATCTGGGGGAGGCTGTGATATGTGTAAGCAGGAGTTTACATTCAGATCCCTCCTTGTGTACGATATTGACTACCCTTACTATGCGTTTGATGAGTTTTACTTACAGAGTTACTGTTCCTGTAAAGGAGCCATGGGATGAATGGGACTATCAAATTATCAAATTTTCAAAGTAGAAATTTGATTTTTTTTTTTAAAAAATAGAGTTTGGAAATAAAAACTCAATATTGAAGAGGAATGACTTTTTATCAGTTTAAGGTGTTTGTTTGGAGGATTTTTATTTTAATTTGTGGTTTATCAAAGTGTTTTTATAATGGAATCTACAGTCTTGGGAGTGAATACTGTATTATTAATTAATTAAAACTGAACTGTGCTTTTTTTCTCAATGGTACTGTTTAAAAAACAGCATAAAAAAAAAAAAAATTGATTTCTCAGGTACAAAAAGTATATAATTATATATAAAATTCATAAGGTCATTTTGAATTTTCAAATATTGCTAATGAAACGAACTGAAAACCTCTAGCAGTAGTATGGTATGAGTCACCAAAGATGAAAGAATTTGATTGTGCAGTCATTCAATGTGCTCAGACATTATTTTGCCCCACCAGAGGGATAGGTTTAAATAAGTTTGATTGTGCAGTCATTCAATGTGCTCAGGCATTATCTTGCCCCACCAGAGGGATAGGTTTAATTAAGTTTGATTGTGCAATCATTAAATGATGTCCTTATGCTCAGACATTTTTTTGCTTCAAAAGATGACTAAGGCTTACAAGTTCGCAAAACTATATTTTTATCGACTGAAGATTTCCTTTTTATCATGAGATCTGAGGTTTTAATTTGCGAATTTCAGAACCACCATTAGAAAGGAAAAAAAACACTGCCATGCATGTTTCTCTATAGAAAAATACCCACAGTTACTGAACAAATATCTTTCAAGGTCTTACCTTAACACTGGTGCTTTTTGGCCCGTTCCCTCAATGGTTTTCAGCAATCTTTTCTCTGCTGCCAGAGCACGCTACAGCACAAGACCGAATATTACATGAATTTATGTAAATGTATCACATGAATGACAAAATAGTGATAAAAATGATGTGCAGTTAATTTACCATTTTCAGAACAACGTATCAGGAAAAAGTAATTTAAAAGATTATCCTTTAAAATAAAGAGTCAGGAATCTTTTCTTCCCTCTATCAGACATATCTAGGAATCTGCATTCTTTCTGAACTTTTCTTCTCTATGTCAAACATATCTAGGAATCTGAAATTTTTTTTGTTTATTTCTTTAACCTTATAGTAATCTAATTTTTTGAGTACTTTTTTTACTTTCTATCAGACATACACTATTATTTAGAGTATTTTTACCTTCTCTCTATCAGACAGAGCCAGGAATCTTTTCTTCTCTCTTTCCTCTGCCTCCTTCACAGCTTCCTCCTCCCTTTTTTCCTTCCAGGAGGAAAAATTCATTAACATAATGTAGCACAAGGTAAAATCAATATAAGAGGAAAATTTCATCCCTGTTTTATTTTTGCCCATTTCACTCTCATCAAATATTTTCAAAACCCTTGTAGAAAATGAGTAAATTTAAAACAGGGCGAATTCACAAAAGACAGCTTTAACTCCTAATCACAACTGTGTCTGTGTGAATTTAAAATGGGGCAAAATTATTTCCAAGTGTAAAAGGGCAAAAATAACACAGGGCAAAAATATCCCAATATTCTGGTTATCACAATGACAAAAAATAACCACTGTAGTTTAATTCAACATGTCTATCTAATTTAATCTTGATATCTGGTTAAATATGTATGTGATGATGTAAACATGTATAACTTGTATGGACTTCTCCATTACAAATTTCAAATCTTTAGTCCAAAATTTATTAAAATTTATCTAAAAGTTTAATAAATGTTTGAAATATCCATGCATCAAAATTTAAATTTTGACAGTTCTGATATATGGTTGCATACCCCTGCCTTTTTCAAGTAAATCTCTTCATTTTGATCTTACTTTCATTCTCTCTTGTTTGGCTTTTTTCTGTAACTTTTTCCTCTCTGCTGCCTTTTGTTTTCTTTCTTGTTCCATGTCGTCAGTTAATGCGCTCGGAATCTACCAAATATCAAATATTAATAGCGATTCTCTGTAACCACTTAAACTTCTTTGCCACGCATGGTCACCGATTTTGATGAAACTTTGCCCATTATTACAACTTGACACCAGAAACATATATCAAACAAAATTTCGTTGCTATGTGTCTTGGTTACCATGGTAACAGCCAGAAAAGTTGAAAAAATTGAGATTTTCAGCTACTTTGAATCTTTATTAAGCCTTAATAAAGACTAAGAAAAACAAACTAACCATTCTCACAAAAACATGACACCTTGTTGCCACTTATGCTATAAAGAAACTATTTAGAATTTATCTCTAAGTAAGTGGTAACCATGGGTACATTTGGAATACATTTTAGATGCTGAAAAATGCTGAAAAACGCTCAATATTCACAAATGATAGATGTTACATGATCAAACTCAATCAACAACTTAAGAAAAACAATAAAAAATATTTGACCTTAAGTAATCAGGTATTGGCAATATTATTTTAAAAATAACTTTCATGGTTGCCATGGTAACACAGTGTTACCATGCAAAATCTGTTGCTATGATTGGGTTAATGCTACTATCTTGAGGAAAAACAAGAAAATTCATGACTGGCACATATACATCCTTAGGACCTTGCAACACCAACAACATAAGAAAAATTGGGATTAATTGTTTTTCTGCAGTGTAACCATGGAAACAACGTACTAGTTGTTTAAAGTGATATATTTTTTGCTGCTTTAGAAATTTACTTACCTTTTAATCAAGAAACATATTATTTGACTAACCTTGAATAGTACTTATCTGGTAGAACTAAAGTTGAATATCATATATTGATAAAGTTTGTAGAAAAATACAACACTGTTGCTATGGTTACCAAGAAGTGAAAATGTTTGATTTTGTTAATTTTATATCAATATTAAACCCTATGTGCCAGCTTTTTGCATCCAGTTAGAGATTGGGTGGTAATCAAATTTGAAAGTCAGGTTAGTTATTCATAAATATCAATCATAAAAGTTTTGGGAATCTACATACAAGGGTACGTATCCAAGGAAACATAATATTTTTCACATTTTTAAGCATATTTTTTCGGCTAATTTCCATAGCAACGCTCTATTTAAAGAATCAAATTTGAAATTTTTGAAATGTGAAAATTAGGGTCACACCAACACCTTTAAAAATTGATCATCAGTTATATAGAAATATGTTTTTTAAAAAGATAGCATAAGATTGAAACACTAAGAGAAGAAATTCAAAATCCCTTCGTGGTATTAAAACCATGGCAACCATTGCCAACCCATAAGAAATATCATATTTCGTCCTTGGCATATGTTTCAAGGATCTTTTGTCTATTATTTGCTTGCTTTTCAACCTATAATTGTTTTTATTTTTAAGTGTATGACTTTTTAAAATTAAATGAACAAAATTATTACTTTTGAATACTTTGTTTCCATAGTAACGTATATAATAGTTGGTTTACCAAACATGTTTATCAAATATTTAAGACACCAGACCTTCAACTTTCAGAAACAGTCATTACCACTTGTTTGCTTTGCCGCAAACGTTAATTGTGGGACTCTGAACATGTTAAAAAATGCCATTTTTCAAACTTTACGACGTGTTGCTATGGAAACCATGACACGTAGCAACCAATTTTTGCCTGATTTGAGTTTCAGGTATCAAAGACTTTTATCAAAGAGAGTTTGGGGAAATTCTGAGACTATGCGTGCCACAGCTCCTATATAAAAGTTCAAGTCATTACAGAGAATGGCTCTTAATCTATAGATCTAAATGTATTAGATGAAAAAGTTTATGTCCTCTCCAAAGATTTCAAATGCATTTGAAACAGATATAAAATGTCAACAACAACAACAAAGAAAAAAAAAATGTGGATAAAAGGGGTTTGATTTATTATTTAGCAAAAATTGAAAGAAAATTTATGGAAATGAAATCCCTTGAAAAGTTTAATGGTATGCAAATGCAAAGAATAAACAAAGGTAAGATCAATCAACATACACTTTCATGATATTCATTATCAAAAGGAAAACAAGATTAGATTTCAAGATGCATCTAATATTAATTTTTAGAACCAAAATTAAACTTTTTATTAAATGAATATTCTTTTCATTATTGTGGACATTAAAAATGATGTTATTTCATTCAATGAAATTTGAGTTTTATTTTTTATTTGTTTTAAAACTAAGAAAATATTTAAAAAAGATACTTAAGGAATGACGTTAAAGAATTGTTTGAAAAATACAAAAAAGTAACCAACCACAGGGAGACAAGAATGAATTAAATTCCAAGTGGTGTTTTTTTTTTTGATAATTTAATTGCATTTTCTTTAAGTACCATATGAATACATCTTGAAAACTAAATGGAAATTCTTTTATCAAATATTTATTAAAAAAAATAAAATTCAACTGAATTAGAGCTTTTTCAATACACAATTGAAAAGAAAAGAAAGACAGAAGGCTATATATTCCTTACATGATCTTATGACCTGCTGTAACTATGCAACAAACCTGTGCTGTTTTATAATCATATCGATCAGGATATCGACCCATAAACTTTCTGAATTCATTTCTAGTTTCTTTATCTTTTCCATGGTTGTATGGAGTCTGGCCAAATTTATCCCTATATATAGAAAATGATACATGTATGTGCAGGTTAAATTAGGAATTTTGCACTATTGAAATGAACATAGTAGAATTGGAAGGACAAAGGGATCATGAAATTAGTATATTACAGTGTATATACCGTAATTATACTTTTTTATGTATATATATGCTAAATTTTTTTTTAAACTTTTCTCTAAATATTCTATTTTAAGAAAGAAATATTGACAAATTATTGCTATAAAATAAAGCAGAAGTCTTAATTTCAATTCTGATGATCAAATTAAATTTTGCAGATTAAAATAACCATATCACACAATATTTTACGTGATAATTAAAATAAGTTCAGGACTTAATATCTGGTGTGTGCAGGTCCTGTAAAAAGGACCCTGTCTCAGTTGAAAATTGACATTTTTTCTCCCCAAATTAAGGCAAAAATTCCCAAATGGCAAGCATATTGATTTTTTGAGTACATTTTATCAAGAATCTTGAATTTTCAGGAAAAGATGTGAATAGAAGATACTCCTACATTCTAAATTGTCTCTTTTACAACATACATGTACAAGTATGTACATTTATCAAAATTTCCAGATTTTGCTACTTTTTTCACACAATCATTTAGAAGCCCAATTGAAAGGGTACAGGACCCTGTTCCAAAAAAGGGCAAATTAAGCCCTGGAATTACCTAGCAGCTGGGTTAGCCCCACTCTCCATAAGAATCTTGATGACTTTTCCATGCCCCTCTTTAGCAGCAATGTGTAACAAAGTTAGTTTATTGTCTCCTATCGCTTCATTCAGCATGTCATTGGTATCTATCGGTGACAAGAGTTCCTCTGAAGTTGATGATCCTGGTCGACTGTCTGTTTTACCGGATGGTCTTTGCCAAAGCTCTTTATGTATCAGATTTTCTGATGAATTTTCAGATGGTGCAGATAAAACCACAGAAGAAATAGATCCTGTTCCATTTAAATTCTCTAGTCTGTCTATATTTTGTATATCACAATTAGTTAAATCACTATTTTCCCCAGAGGACAGTTCACTATTTTCACTATAATCATGACAATGTTGTAAATCGCTAGTCTGATGATTATTTTCTATCCCTTGCAGCATCTTTTCTGGAGATTCTATTTTTGGAACACTCTTTGAGAAAACAGCCATTAAATTTCTTAGTGTTTCCACATCTCCTGTTTTACAAGCTGTAAACAGGGAATTTTTCAAGTGATATTTTTCTTCCTCTGAAAAAAAAGAAATACATGTATATAGAATTAATTACTTTTGATATAATTATTACTGTAACTGGTGACTATCACTCACATACATAGAAAAACTTTGAGAGACTGAGATTTCAATGTTTCAAGGGTACAGAAATTTCCAGGTTATTTGATCATTGTTGATTGGTTTTAAAATTTGTCTAAGATATGTCACAATACCTTTATATTAAGCTACAGTGTACATGTATGTCTAATTATCCAGTGAGAGGATCTGAGTTACCTAACGGGTCTGTCTCCGGTTCCAGCTGATGTTTCGACAATCTCCGTCTTCTATTTTTGTTTTTCTTTCTGTTTGGTTTCTTTGTGGCCTCAAACTCCTGCAGCTCTAACGTTGAAAGCGTTTCCATGGTTTCCACAAGATCAGCATCACTTGTTGTAGATCCTCCAGAGGATGAGGGCTGATTTTCATTCTGCATTTCATCTTCTAAAATAAAATCAAATTTTAAGTCTGTGCATGCTGCCCAATCCCATTCACTTTTATGAATAAAACACTGTATTTAATCAAATACAGTAAAACCAACTTTTACTCGTATACAAAGAATTCCTATGAGAATCCTCTTTGCTCTGCACTGCTCAACAGCAAATTAAACATTGATAATTTGTATTAAAATCAACCTAATTACCAGCATCAAATGATTCCTAATTAACTGAACAACACACCTATGAACTGTATCTGTTGTGCCCGTAACAAGACCTTCTCTTTTACTTTATCTAGTGTCAGGGGTGAGGCTTCCCTGCTCTTCTCCCCGGATAATCTCCTCTGTCGTCCCTTTTGTGGGTCCTTATTAATGACTTCCAGCTGACCCAGGGCTGCATTAAAGGTCACAGGTGGAGAAATTGGAACATAATCCTGAATATCAGCCTCTTCTCCTGGTATTTAAAAGGTAAGGTTAAAAAAAAAAATAGTTTGAGAAGTTTACTGATAGACAGACAGACAGACAGATGGAGAAACAGACAGATGGATGCCACACAAAGGGTGATCAGAAAAGCTCAATTGAGCTTTCAGTTCTAGTGAGCTTGAAAGGTAAGGTATGAATTTTATTTTTGTTGTGTCTGTTGTAAGTAAAAATATAATTAACTTCCTTCAAAAAGTCAAGCAAAATAGCTGAAGGTCAGTTCATAACTGTCTACAAATGATCAAACCTTATTAATAAGAGAAAAGACTTCTAATGTTATACTACAGTGTCTATCTATAGCATACAGCATACTGAAAATACAAATAGTCTGTAAAATGACTTACCATAACACTCAATGGAAGACAACATTTCAAACACTCTTCTGGTTTCATTAAGAGTGGGTCGTCGTGTGGGAAAAGGAATCATTCGTACTCTCTGGTCATCTTTGTTGAAGGGCGGGGATTTTCCGTGTAGAAATATTCTCTTGTTCGTGCCAGGTGCTCTAATGAATATTCTGTTACAGCTTTCTAACTCTCCTTTCCAGGATTCCAATAATGACTTGATTTCCTTCATAAAAACATTTAAAAAATCACAAAATAAAAAAAGAATCCCACCAAAGAATGGATTGAAAGTTAAACTATATGAAGAAGCAACACAACTTCAAAATGATATTTCTTATATCAATATAATAATGATATATATAATGATAACAAAAAATGGCTTTAAAATAAATCTGGAGAAAACATATCCAGAAACATCATTTACCTCCTTCAATGCTGCCTCATTATGCCTTCTGATACTGGCCCCACCAGATTTAGGGGCATTCCCCTGACTGTCTCGTGTTCCCTGAGCTGTGCCCCTTTTGGCCCTCACTACATAACGATGGAATGTCTTGTGGAGTATCAGTTTTTCTCTGCAATTTTTTTTTTAATTTTAATTTTATGAGCTTAAATAAATTATAACCTTAATAGTATAAATTTAAATCATACAGTACATGATATAATTGCCAACAGTTATCACAAGATTTTATAATTATGTCATTAACTGTTTGATTCGTCATCAAATTCTCTCAGAAAGAAAAAATGCATATAATATTATGATTTCCCTGCATTTGCTTTTCCATTAGAAAAATCATATAACACGTATACACTTGTTAATTTATGATTGTTTATGCTGTAGTTAATGGCCATACTTACTTATCAAACACAGCTCCAGCGAAATGTCCACCCCCACACATTAGGACCGCCCACTTCATCTCCCCAGTAATGTTATTAACCATTGATACTAGCTCTGCATGATTCTGAACTTTGACCTAAAAACAGAAAATTAAAAATGCTTAAACTTCAAGGGGCTGTGTGAGGTAAACCAAAGTTCTACAACTACATTTTCATTGATTATAAAAAATCTTTTTATTTAATGAAATGATAACCCCATTTACACTGAATTCAAAAAAAAAAATTGAAATAAATTTTTCTTTAAAAAAGGACATCAAAACAATTAACAACGTTCTAATAAAGTTCAAAAACAGAACAGAATTGGTAAACTTATGGAAATTATCTAAATTTTTTGTGAGATTTAATTGTAAAATTACTATATAATATCAACAAGATTCAAAACTCTAGTCTAAAATACTCCTGCTCTACCTTTTTGTGATGTACAACGCATCTGTACACTGACACCAGCAGACCTTCAGAATTACGGAAGAATATTTTAGGATATTTTCTAGCCCCCTCATTGGATGCCCCTCCCATTTCTCCCTCTCCCACTTCGCTTTCGCTGTCACAGCTGCTGAGTTCCTCATCCTGCTGCCTGAGTTGTAGGGGGCGGGGAAGTTTGGGAGGAGCAGTCTCCTCGTTCTCCGAGTCTGAATCTGAACCAGAAATACTGGATACAGATCCTACAATAATAAATATATCATGGTTCTTAGATTATTACTATTTACAAATTTATATTATATACAGAATAATAATGTATGACAGGTTTAGTACAATTATATACAGAATAATATAGATTTATAATTTTATTACATACAGAATAATGGACTAAAGATTCATTACAACTGTATTACATATAGAATAATGTATTATTGATTTATTATAATTTTATTACATACAGAATAATGTACTATAAATTTATTATACACATGTAATTATATTACATACAGAATGATGTACTATAGATTTATTACAACTGTATTACATACAGAATAATGTACTTCAGATATATTACAATGTTTAATGACAAACAGGATAATGTGTTATAGATTTATTACAGTCTAAATGTACAAGTATCCTATATCAAGTTTTGATTTCTTTTATTACTGCAATTTTTCAGTGGGACTTAATTGTGCATTGCCTTTTTTCCAGGGCTTCAAACATTGATTTTCTACCATATCACTCCCAGAGTCTTGATAGTTATAACTTGTTGTCTCATCCCTAGCTAACAGATAATCGTATTTAAAAGTTTCAGATCAAAGTTAACACTCACCACATATGTCCTCAAATTCTTCTTCTTTTAGAGTTGTCTTTCCTTTGAGTTTTCTCTGAAGGTTATAGCGATGCCAGTCTGACTTAAAGTGCTCTTTCTACAAGGTACATTGTAAAATTTGACTGTATAATTATTATCATTTCTAATTAATATTTTTACATTGAGGCTGCATGATCTTGCTTGGACTTTTCTTTCCGTTCAGTACATTGTATATTAATTGATGGTTTAATGTTTTTACAGTAATACCAGTCAGTAGTCTAACAGATGAAATTCTGAAGTTCATTACTTTTGTTGTATTTAAAATGTGTTTGTAAATGTAACAAAAGGAGAAACAAAACGTGACAGACTAGGATTTGAACCCAGGTCCCTGAACTCAATACAGGCCCATGCATTCTACCACCTGAGATTCCTGACCACTGGCAAACTAGCTGCCTGACCACTACTGTAATTTCTGGTTATATGTGCTTTATATGTTACCTGATCTAGTCTACTCTGGCTGACTGCTACAGTGATTTTTATTTAGTTTATGTGTGCTTTATGGTACCCGATCTAGTCTACTCTGGCTGACTGCTACAGTAATGTTTTAGTGTATATGTGTTAAGCTTTATGGTACCTGATCTTGTCTACTCTGGCTGACTGCTACAGTAATGTTTTAGTGTATATGTGTTAAGCTTTATGGCCTGGTCTAGTCTACTCTGGTTGACTGCTACAGTAATTTTTATTGTATGTGTTAAGCTTTGTGCTACCTGATCTTGTCTACTCTGGAACTCCACATAACAGGAATTACATGCCATTCTCTCAGGAACTTGTATAATGGCTGTCTGTTCTGGGTTTGGTTCTGATGCAGGCAGCTGGTCTTGAGTCCCTTTGCAAAAAAAAAAAAATCTTTTGAATTACCGGTATCACTTTTATCATGTTTATATATCAATCATAATAATAAATTCAAAGAGAAATCATTGTTTTCGAAGATAGATAAGTCTAACTAATATGTTTCTTTTAAAAAAAAATTCATCAACAATGTTTATTTTTAATTTAATTTTTTCCTGCTATATTCAATTTGCTTGTTTAATTTCAAATTCATCTTCTTTTAAAACAATTTTTAATTACAGGGAAAAAAAATCCATTTTTGTGATCAAAGGGCCATATTCCCTTAATAATACATAATGTGTGGAAAAAATGGACAACAGCATTATATGAAGTTCCCATAAACTACCTCCTAATGGTTGACTAGTGTCTTGATTCACGTCCTTCCTCTCTGATACAGGTCCATGTTCTGATGTCGGGTTACAATTGGCTAGTGACAGCCCATCCAGTTTTGACGTAGCCTCCTCTGTATTGTAGAATCGGACAGTCCAATATTTCTTACTAGCTCTCTTCTGGAGCCTTTTAGGAGAACATTGCGGGCTAACCCTGAGTTTCATCACCTCTGCCATCTCCTTCTTAAGATCAGTGACAGTTGTTAGTTCACATCCTGGTAATAACTGCTGGTTTTCTTTGTGTTCAGACATTATATCGTTTGTTGACTACCTTTTTGCTAAATATAATTATAGATTAATATTAGAATCTGGGAATATGGTCATTATCATTTTGTTGGTTAGAGTGTAACAGACTTATAATTTGTTACCTTTATCATTTTAAAGCAGACAGATCTAATAACTTGACTGCTACATGCAAAACAAAATTCTCTATGTACAGTCTAGACGAACTCCAAAAACAGCGTGAACTCCGAAAACGAAGTCTTTGGCTCCATCATGCATTGCGGCAAAATGGCGTCCGATGTAAACAAACGATGGATTATCGTTCGCTTTCTCCAAATATACGGCTGCATAATGGCTGTATTTAGTGCATTATTACTTCATTTTATTTTTTGTTGATGGATAATTGCATTTATTAAATTATTTTGTGAATATTGACTTATTTATCGCTTCAAACTCTTGCATAATAGTGAATTGGATATACGACATCGAATTCAATACTGCCGGTAAGAAACATTTTCTTATTTAATTTATTGTCTCCTTGATTTAAATTTTATGTCGTTTCTACAATAAAGGTGCTTTTATTTGTTTTTGAAGACACCCAACTTGTATTTATTTTAATCAGAAAATGTGCATTTTTCACCACGGAGCAGAGATATTAACAGGTTCATTTTTAGAAGACTTGTTGTGCCCTTAATATCTAGAAGAGTGGTTTTTAAAGTCTTCATATTGATAGATAATAGTTTTAAAAATGTGTTCATAATAATATCTGTTTGTATGTGATAAATAATCGGTAAATAACGATGGTAAAAACTTACGTGTTCAATTCAGATGTCATACACAAATAAAAAACCGGAACGCTAATTTATGTGTAAAATTCAGTCAAGTTTTTAACAGTTTCAATATATATTGTCCAATTTTGCATATATATCCCTTTTATTATGCATATTTACTTCTCAAAATGTATCATATTCTCTGTAATTGATCTGACTTGAAACGTTAACTTTGAAAGTAAATATCTCCTTTTTTGCAAATAAAATAAAAAATCTGACAAATACGATCTCTACCGAAGTCTTTTATTTAGCATTTTTGAGTACTGGAATAATTGCTATACTTTCCAAAACTTTGCACGGACAGTTTTTGTAGACCCATCATTTTTGCCGAAAAATCGCCATTTTTTGTGTGTGTGCGCATGCGCGGACTCTATTTTCGGAGTCTTTTTCAGTCTCAATTTCTTACTTCCGGAAACGCTGTTTTTGGAGTTCGTCTAGACTGTGTACTAGACTCGAAACTCACATACAGAAGCAGGGATATTTTAATCAGTGTTAATCTATTTATACCATGACCTGATGATTTTCACCTCATAACCGATAAATTGATGATTAATAACAAATCTAACATATCACATGTTCAGTCAAAGCAAAAGCTAAATTCAGTAATATCAAATGTAAACGGGTAAACATTCTTGTTTTTTATTTTCTGTGCCACATGGCACATATGTTAATTAATATGGTTAAAGACTTGGATATTTGTACAAATAAAAATCACTTAATTAAAGTAAAACATAAGTATATTACAAACCTAACAGGTGCCTGCTCATAAAAGTGAATTTGTTGCCTGGTGTGCAACATCTTATTATAAAAAATATTGCATCACTGTCTGCCAATAATTTATTTCAGAGTTACCCGACCTTTTCAAGGCGGTTTCCAGTCTTTTCGACATGCAACTGAAACGTGTAAGCAACAGGGTAGGCTATGTTTTTTTTAATCTATGACATTTAGATACATACCAAAATATTCGACAAGTGATGAATATTTGTTTAATTATGAATAAGGATGCTCTTTTAAAATTTCTTTCATCCCCTACTAAGAATCGAATCACCTGCTTTCTTGCGCGTGTGTGGGGGAGGGGGGGGGGGGTTACTCGATCCTAGGTAGGTTCTAAGGTCATTCTTTAGTTACTTTACTATGTACATGTAATAAATCCGCAAATTCCGGGGGGGGGGGAGGGGTTCGGGCCCCCCCCCTAGATCCGCGCATGTAATTGGTATACATCATCATGTAAGGAATTCGGTATTTTAACCTAGTTCTTTTGTATGTTCTCCCTAACTCTGCGTGCAGGTTTCAGGGGCAACATGTTTTACACATTGATGTTTACAGACATATTTTCCATAAAGTTTATAAATAAATCTTTTAATTATTACAATCAATAAATACAATTGAAATGTTGACTTTACTAAATTCTAAACTTTGACGGACAGGAATTATTATTTTCAAAAACAACGTGAACATTACACTTTCTAAGGAGGAAATTCTTCAAAATCATATGTCATTTTTGAATATTTTTAATATTCCCAACAATCAACACGAACATAAAGCTGATAGACCTTTGCAAAACGCGATGGGTGGAAAAATATCAAGCTTCTGAAAAGTTTTCAGAGTTGTATGAATTGGTTTTGGCCTGCATGGAGTCCATCAGAAAAACCATATCTATACTGGATTCCGAAACGTCATAAAAATCTTTACAAAGATACATAGCGAGTTCCAGTAAATGTTCTACCAAGCCTCTTTCTTTACTCCTCACTAAAATATTAACAGTAGTGAAGGAGAAACTTCAGGAGTACTGTGCAAAAATATATTCGAGAAGTGGTGTAAATCAAATGTGGATGCTTAAAAATTCCAAGGAACTCTTGGAAAATTTGAAATCACAAAATTTTACCAAAATCAACAACATAAAAACTTAGTAATACGACTTTTCAACTTTATATACAACCATTCCCCATGATAAATTAAAGTCCAGGCTTTCTGATATATTATTGACAGCTGCTTTTTCAATAAAAATGGAACTCGTTAATTTACTTACCTTGTCATTGCATGGTCATTTGCAAAATTATTTTGTTAAAAAACATTCTGATTGTACACACAAGTCCTCTGAAGTTGATATTAAAAAGATGAGTTTCTGATTGACAATATCTATGTGGTTTTTGGAGACCAGGTCTTACAACAACCTATTTTTGTATTCATATGAAGCAGAATTTGCTCAAAATCTTTTGAAAAGAAGAAAACACTCTGTAGCCTTCAACTCGACATTTAGATATATCGACGACGTATTGTCAATTAACAATGGTTACTTCCATTCTTATGTCGATACGATATATCCCAGTGAGCTTGAAATAAAAGATAACACAGAGGCTGACACATCTGTTTCATATATGGATATTTTACTAGAAAAAGAAGTTAATGTTGTCCATCAGAAATACCATATCTATATTGGATTCTGAAACGTCATAAAAATCTTTACAAAGATACATAGCGGGTTCCAGTAAATGTTCTACCAAGCCTCTTTCTTTACTCCTCACTAAAATATTAACAGTAGTGAAGTAGAAACTTCAGGAGTACTGTGCAAAAATATATTCGAGAAGTGGTGTAAATCAAATGTGGATGCTTAAAAATTCCAAGGAACTCTTGGAAAATTTGAAATCACAAAATTTTACCAAAATCAACAACATAAAAACTTAGTAATACGACTTTTCAACTTTATATACAACCATTCCCCATGATAAATTAAAGTCCAGGCTTTCTGATATATCATTGACAGCTGCTTTTTCAATAAAAATGGAACTCGTTAATTTACTTACCTTGTCATTGCATGGTCATTTGCAAAATTATTTTGTTAAAAAACATTCTGATTGTACGCACAAGTCCTCTGAAGTTGATATTAAAAAGATGAGTTTCTGATTGACAATATCTATGTGGTTTTTGGAGACCAGGTCTTACAACAACCTATTTTTGTATTCATATGAAGCAGAATTTGCTCAAAATCTTTTGAAAAGAAGAAAACACTTTCTGTAGCCTTCAACTCGACATTTAGGTATATCGACGACGTATTGTCATTAACAATGGTTACTTCCATTCTTATGTCGATACGATATATCCCAATGAGCTTGAAATAAAAGATAACACAGAGGCTGACACATCTGTTTCATATATGGATATTTTACTAGAAAAAGAAGTTAATGTTAATCTAACCACCAAGCTTTATGATAAACGTGATGACTTTAACTTTTCAATCGTCAACTTCCCTTACTTATGCAGCAATATACCTTCATCACCTGCATACGGGGTTTATATCTTTCAGTTGATTCGATACGCAAGAGCATGCTCTACGTATGAACAATTTGTAAAACGAGGTAAGTTATTGACAAACAAGTTGATGAAACATGAATATCACCAGTCTCGTTTAAAGTCATCATTTCTTAAGTTCTATGGTCGATACAATGACCTCATGGACCTTGTCAGCAAAGACGATTTGCTTACTGACGTTTTTCATACTACATGTAATTGTTAGGCAATTATTTACACACTAAATTGTCGACGGATTTTTCCGTTATTTCTCGATCATGACAAGGAGCACACGGCGGGTGTGACCGGTCGGCAGGGGATTCTCACTCCTCCATGGCACCTGATTCCACCTCTGATGTTTTAGAGGTCCCTGTTTGCTCTGCTCCAAATTTTGTATTGTTTAATGGACTTTTGAGCTTGAATACTGTTTGGTATCTCCATACATTTCATTGTATAGCTGATATTTATTTATTATCATGGAGAAAGACTTACATTTTAATTTTTCATGTAATACGCATTTTCAACTTCAGATTGAAAATTAAAAAAAGACATTATGTTTATATTCAGCAATCATTATTTAGAGTCGATTTAGTTATAATGGCGATAGAATTAATTTGGAGACTCTGAACGAGCATAACCATGATTATACATATAGATAGTGTGACCAGCACTAACCACTTTATATAATATATCATAGCGTAAACTAAATAAAACAGAATTGAAACTTTCATTTATAGATACAATATATATACAGTATTTCAAAAAAAAAAAAAAAAAAAAAAAAAAAAAAAAAAAAGGGAATGGATAATTAATTAACTAGGGGTCAAGCGCTCATAAATTTAGAGATACTGGTTCTCTGTTAAAAACGTTTTAATTCGAAATGTCAAATGAAAATCGCGTAGCGAAATGTCCCGAATTGGAATTTAGTATACACCGATTGTATGACATATACGTGACTAAGTTCATAAAAAGGATGCTAAAAATGTCAATTCGTAAATTTTACTTGTTTTCTTTTCACCTTAAAGGAACACTTCAATATTTGACATTTTCTATACTGTGTTGGTATGTTTATGCGAGAGCTAAAACCGTATATGGTTTAATCTATATAAATCTTTAATAATGAAATCAGTTTTCACATCTCTTCGGATAAAATCAGATCCGTGTTAATTCATTGCTTTAATGTCGATTGTGAAATATTTCTTAAAAGGTGTTGAAAGTTTATTTCAATGAATTTGCCTGCCAAATTAAAAGTCAATTCTGTCTGTTTTTCTGATTAGGAGTTAACTACGTTGGTTACAATCAGTCTGATTACGAGTAGACTATATCTAGAAACTAATGTAAGGAAGCGCTGAAGGATTATAAATCCACATGAATGACGAGGGAATGTGACATTTGTGGTAGAATTCAATTTATCTTGAATTTACAAGAAAACACAAACTTTTAAAATATGGAATCAGAATAGGGCCACGTAGTTCGCTATCGCAGGATCGCACCATCAAGGTTGTGGGTGATGGCGATATAATAACGCTAGGCCTATATATAGTGCGATGGCACAATGATATGACGATGTTATCGCCGGCGAATCATCGCGCCATATATCGACATGCATCTGTGCATTCGATCATCGCCATCATCATGACATCATCTCATAATCGTCATCGAATTATCCCGACCTCGCACCATCGACCCGCCATACCTCAATGTAAGGTGGTGCAGTAGGCGAGGTACATGGATTTCATCTGCAGTTGGATTCCATATCCTCCCGCCTTTTACATGAAGGACACACATTCGACCGAATTTTTTTGTTCACTAAATACTTTTGTTTTCTTTATTGCTAAAACACACAAAAATAATATAATAGAGCCATGTTGAGAAATTCTTCACAGATCTATTTAATGCCACAATGGTCATGCAATATTCCAGACAAGAATGAGGTACCGTAACTTACTTTGCATATGTATCAATGTCTAATAATAATAATAATGATTTGTAATTCTGGATTGCGGAAGTTTGCACCACTGACATTAAGGGTAGATCTACTAAAGAATAAGAGTTTTCTCTCCACTTTGACACCGTTGTTAACGCAGACTATGGCAAGTTCGGACTTCAACGCTTTTCGCTACCAGTTCGGCAAGTCTAAAAACATAGTGGTCCTCACTGGTGCTGGGGTTAGTGCGGAGAGCGGAGTACCCACATTTCGAGGTGCTGGTGGTTTGTGGAGGAAATTTGCGGCCCAAGATTTAGCAAATCCAGACGCATTTTACAGGAATCCGTCACTCGTTTGGGAATTTTATCATTACCGACGGGAAGTTATGGCATCTAAGAACCCTAACCCGGCCCACATTGCTATTGCCGAGTGCGAAAAAAGACTTAAACCCCAAGGCCGTGATGTGACCGTTATTACTCAGAATATCGACGAGTTACACCATCGGGCTGGATCAACGAATGTTATTGAGCTCCATGGAAACCTTTTCAAAACGAGGTGCACAAAATGCCAGGATGTTCGATTTAATCGCGATAGCCCCATATGCGAAGCGTTGGCTGGAAAGGGGGAACCAGATCCAACGGCTGTCGATGCCCGAATTCCGGAAGAGAAACTTCCACGGTGTACAAAGGACAATTGTGGTGGACTTCTTCGCCCTCATGTTGTGTGGTTTACTGAATGCTTGGATAGCTCTGTGCTGCAGGCAGCACGCGACAAACTGGACGCATGCGACTTGTGTCTAGTGGTTGGAACGTCATCTGTTGTGTATCCCGCGTGCTTGTTTGCTCCTGAGGTTGCCTCAAGGGGAGTTCCTGTTGCCGAGTTCAACGTGGAAGAAACAGACGTCACTCACAGTCTTGGATTCCATTTCCGAGGCCCTGCTGGGGAGTGGCTTCCTAAAGCTTTGGCTCCTCACCCTGACGAGAAGATATAGCTAGAGAAGATATATTTTATTTAATTAGGCTTCGTGCATACAGTATCAAGCGTACTTAACATCTGACATCGAGGCTCAATTCGGCATTGTGCAGTGTTTCGTGTAAGAAATTCATCACATACAAATAAGTAAATATTGTATATAGATCTTACTCAAGAAATGCATGTTGACCGAAGATGATGATTTTTGGATGTACGAAAGTTATTTTTGCTTTATTTTGTCTTCTTCTCCTTGTTTTGAATGGTTTTTGTTGCATTCATTCGTGAACATTAATTTTCCTCAAAGAAAAAGAGCAGTATGGCATGTTAATTGGTAAAATATTAAGAAATTTTTGAGTTTGGGATCAATAAAATTTCTTAAATTAAAGTAACTGTATAAAAAATTACTTCAAAAAAGAAGAATTGTTAACAGAGTATTGCTAGCCCCATATATGGAATTTAAAGAAAAGTCATTATTTTCTGCATGACTTTAGCCATGGCAATATATGGAATGGGCCTACAGAGATAAAAGGATGAGTGCAAAACAATAATTTCCAGTGTACTGGTTGGGCCATCTTTAAAGAAAATGTTTGCTTGCCCTCTCCGACTCAGGATAAAAAAAACTGGGTAGGTAGATAGGGGCAAATTTTTTTTTATTCAAAAACACCAGCAAATGTGAAGTTGAGATACATGTAGTTATTAATGGATAAAAAAAATATATTATTTTCTGAAGGTCAAATACAAGTTTTGAGTCTGGCCGTTTTTAGTCAGTCGGTCGGGAGAGGGCAAACAAACAATTTTTTTTAAAGATAGCCTTGGTGAAAATTTAAAAAAAAATTGAAAAAGAGCTTTTTCTTAGAAAACATCTGAGTAAACCAGGTGTTGACCACTAATCAATGAATGGAAACTTCGTCAAGCAGGGTTCAACATTAATCCTTGTCCCGTTCATTTGTGATCGGACAAGACAATCTCCAGATACACTTGTCTGATCGGACGAGAATTTTTTTTTAACCCTTATGGAATAGTGTGAAGAAGAGAAAAAAAAAGAGAGAGATTTCAGAAAACGCTGTGATTTTTCTGAATGCAAGGTAAACATTTAATACTTACATGTGTAGCGTTTCAACTTTAAAGGCTCAGTCATACCTCATCAGATATGAACGAAACAACAGTTTTTGTTAGGTTGGAGCTCATTTTTCAGTGTAGTTCGTAAGATGTCCCTAATGCCAGGTCTGCTTAAAAAATATTGATTCTTTAAAATTAAAGATGACCACGCAAACAATGGTGTCAGCTGACAAAGTTTGTAGCAACGTAGTCTTTGTAAAGACCTTAATTATTGATATTATCCGCTTTGATTGATTGATTGATTGTATGTTGCTTTACGTCCTATTCGAGAAGAGTCGTAATCATAATTATATCGGTGAAGGGGTTCAAATTTAGACATATACTCGGCACTTTAGGGCCATTGCGCACTGAAACAACACCTGCCGTGACACGGGGCCTCGTTTTTTAAGGTCTCATTCGAAGGACCCGCAACTTTCACTTCAAAATGCTGAAGAGCTTGTCGAAGGAACAGTTACTACCCATAGTCAGTCGCGGCCGGGGTTCGAACCCACAATCTTCCAATCACGGAGCGAGCGCTCTACCGACTGAGCCACAGTGACGGTCTAACTGGTTTGAGGTAAAACCTTAAGGCCGATACACAGGGTAAGGCTTGCATTATATGGTATGAAACTTAACTTCTAGCCTTACCATGTGTAACCCTTAATACACTTTTTATCGAACACAAGTCTGACTTGCGAGTAGGAAACTGCTATAACTCTTATAAAACAAGACTTAGCTGACCTTTCCTTCTTAACCAATGGAAACCATTTATCCATATGTCACACTGTTTTTATAAACTATACACATGGGTTGACTCGAGTGAACACAAATGAACAAGAAAATGACTATATCCACAATTCGTCTGATCAACCTCTTTTTCTTTTTAAGAAGTATAAATACATTGTGCTAAGTACTGCAGCGCCCACGTAACAGCATCTTTTATATTAACAAGTGAATGCACTGTTTTGGGGCTTTAAAACACATGGTATCCATGGAAATGTTTATAATCTTGTAAGGCTGCAATGGCCTTAGCGTGAAGACTTGAGAGCCGCACGGCCTTAACAAATGTAAGGTTTTAGACTTATAAGGCAGGTCCTATCCTGTGTACCGGCTTTAAATTAGATATATTCAAGAAGTGCTGTACACGATCAATTCTTGGTTCTCAAAAAATCCAAAAATTAAAATCACCCCCTCCCCTAAAAAAGCAGAAAATTGAAGTCAAGACGCATGATTTCCTAATACTTTATACATTTACAACCTTTCCTCACCATAACTCAAAGACAGGGGTTAAGGACGTCATAGGCACCTGCTTTTTCAATAAAAATACAAATCAGAAATTTCATTTTCTTTGATATGTCATCTACAAAACCACTCTGATTCTGTATAAAATTGCTCTGAAGTTGATATTAAACGTTGCCAGAATTTCCAGAGGCTTATTGACGATATCTATGCAGTTCTTTGACGATCAGGTCTTCCAAAACACTGTTTGAATTCCCATTAACACAAACTTTACCAATTTGTAAGCTGATGTTTTTAGTAAAAATTTTCTAATGACTTTCATTTCGACATTTAGATATATAAACGACGTTTTCATTCATATATCGACTCGATAAATCCCAGTGAAATCGAAATAAAAAACACCATGCACAGAGTGTGTCCCATCCGTTCCATATTTACATGATTTATCTAATATCATGGGCGGCCGTTTTTGTATTTACTGCCACAAAGTGATATCACCTATTCGAATAGATGGTATCACCTATTCAATTGGTGATATCACCTATTCGAATTGGTAATATCACCTTTTCAGCTTTTGAAGAGTTGGTGTAACCTATTGATTTCCAGTAGGTGATATAACCATTGAAAAGGTGATATCACCTATTGAAAAAGTGATATCACCAATTCGAATAGGTGATATCACTAAATGGCAATAAATAGCAAAACGGCACCTCATATAATACAAACGTTAAAGATAAACTTACAAGAAACGAGAAAATATTGATGTTTTTTTTTTATTTCTATTCTTTTGTAGAGGTTTATTCATTATTATAGGCGTATTTTTGCGTATCGATTTTGTGTAAATTCATTTAGACACTCATTGCATTGAAGATTTAGGCCGAGACAGCCAAGCGACAATTAAACTTTCATATAAGATGAGGAAAAAAATTGCATATATAACATATGAACAGGGGGGAAGAAAATATGTTTCAATTAGGGATGTCAACGAATATTCGAGTACTCGACTATCGTTCGATCATACCGACTATCGACTAAAATTTCTTTAGTCGGTTATTCGTTAAAATGTGTTATTTAATAGTAATTTTATATTCAATGTAATAAACTTGGAATTGCCCATTTCATTTATTTACAGATCAATGTTTTCGTAAGTAAAACTCAGGGTAAGGTTTAGCTGTTCAAAGGAAATTATTTGTATATCGATTTATGTTCGGCAAACATGCCTCCAAAATCTACAGTTTTTGGCATACTTTAAAAGATGTCAGGATGGAAAAAACAGTTAAAAGTACGTTAACAAGGTTATGTGAAACTGAAATTGTATTCTGCAGTGGAGCATCAAATATTATGTATCATATGCCGAATCCGTCAAACATATTAAGTCTTGAAGTGAAACTTTCCTAGTAAGTTCTCCGTAATGCCAAAAAGCAGAGCCGGAAAGAAAAATGTTGCCATCACAAACATGATTATCAAGGATTGTCCACCTCTTATTGTTGTAAATGGAGAAGACGTTCAAGAATTGTTTGGTTTTGCAGATTCAAATTATAAAGTTTCAACTTATAAAGTCTCAACCTGCAATTCCATAAGATCTGACGTAATGCAACTATTCATAAAGAATAATTAGACCGCTGTTACAATACTGTAAATACATGTAAATTGGGGGACATTTATGAGCGTAATTAAATGGTGTTTCTTTCTGATATTGATATCAAACAGTCATTTTAAGATTGTGTTAATTATTTGCACAAAATCTCATGATTAAAATTTATCACAAGCTCTGTTTTTATAAGAGGCACTCTTTAATTGTTTACCAGTCACAAGACACGACAAGTAGAAATGGCTTCAATTAACGGGTATATGTACTAGCGTTATGAAAAGAAAGGTTAAATACGAGCGTTTGATATCCTGCATTTAGATAAATGTGCATAAATATTATATTTGAAATCAAATACATTGGATACATGTAGATGTATTTATTGTACTATGTAAATGCTTACGATTCAGAAATTCGTTATATTATGGTGATAGCGTAGGTTAAATATTGTACAATTAGTCTATAAAAGACAAATAGTGAAAATGACATGAAAAATTAATTTAAATTTCAACGACTATTCGACTATCGTTCGACTAAAGCCTCCGACTATTCGACTAAGCTGTCCGAATAAAATTGACATCCCTAGTTTCAATTATAATTTATTAATCAATAATCAAATTTATTCTTATGTATAACTTTTTAAAGGTGCATTTTCAATCCCCCCCCCCCCCCTCAAAATCGTATACACTAATATTAAAACTTAAATTATAAGGCATATTGGTCCTTAAGATCGCAGTGAAAAAAAGGTTGACTTCAGCTTTTCCATTCTCGACTCCTCTTATCTAATTGTCAAAGTCAGGCTATAAACAAAGAAACTGACATAATTATGGATATCAATGGTTTCGCTTTGGGTCAGCATTTCGTAAATTCTATTGTCATTATAATAATTCTGCTTGCAAATACTATCTATTGTTAGATGGAATTTTGAATGACCTGTTTCATATTGAAAGATAGGTCATTATTTATCATGCTAGTATTGACTATGGATATCTACGTTTACTTGATTAATATAGAGCTAGGACTCACGGTGGTAACAACCGATCGATGAGGTATACTTACTCCTGTTTAACATCTGATCTAATCTGTCCTTTTCACGATTTTTAATGAGATTTATGGAAATACTGGTCATTAACTTCTTACCTTTTCACACAAAAATCTTGCAACAAAAACAATATACCCCACTTGAATTTGAACCGTATGTGAATACATTTTACATATGCGATAATTGTCTATTTCCCCTTCAAGACATGTTTTTGTGTTGCTATAGCTAATATCAACCCGATTCTCTTGTTTTCCATTCTCAGAGGAAAATACATCACGTGATTTTTTCTAATAATGATAACGGTGAAGATAACGAACAGTGATCGATCTAAAAACAATTATAAACAATACAATTCTACGAAGAAGGCATAAAACACAGACCCCTGGAAATTTCAGAGGTGGCTAGGAGGAGAAAGCATCCCC